GCTTCACCTCCTGGGTCTCTCCTGGGAGCATTCAGCATATGCCCCTCCGTGCGCTTCCCACAGCGAGTCCGCCCAGGCGGGGTCCCGGGAAGCCAAAGGGTTCTGCACCCCCACTTCACAGTCAGACGTGACTCTCAGCCAGCCAGTAACACAGAGGTTTATTAGATGACAGGAACATGGTCTAAAACAGAGCTTGTCGGTCCAGCGAACGGGACCCCTCCGCCGGGTCCATTCTGGGGCCCAGCCAGGCAGACCCCTGTCTGCCCTCCCTTCCAGTCCCCAGCTAACTTCAAACTCCAACCCCCGTCCAGCCCCTCCTCCTCTGGGCTTTGTCTCTTTTCCAGGCCAGGAGGTCACCTGATCTCTTTGTTCTCCAACACCTTCAGTTGGCACCTTTGCAGAGGAGGGGCCCAGGCCATCAGTTGCCAGGAGACAGAGTGTCGGGCATTTATGTACACTGTCCCTTTCCTCTGCAGCAACCATACACCCTTATCCCACCACCTAGATACTTAAGAACTGCATTGGGGAAACTGAGGAAAACATTAAGAACAGTCCCACTTCGTCACACAGGGATAACCCACAGGCTTGGCCCTCGTGCAGCCCCCCGCGGCCCCTGGGTGTGACTCAGACGGGGGAGCACGGGGAGCAAGTGGCCCCTGGTGCCCACAGCCCCAGCTGGAGGCGGCGCCAGGGCCGGGGCAGCGTGTCCCTCTGCCCCCCACGTCCATTCTGCTTGGGGCTGGGGGGCTGCTCGGGAAATCAGAGCCAGGGCCCCACAATGCACAGCCGCCGCTGCCCCTGCGTGGGTGCCCATGAACTGCCGCCAGGGCCCTGGGACCTCTGATGGCTGGGGTCAGAGGTCAGCGTTGCAAGGTGATTACAATAATCCCAGCCAGGGGGCCAAACCTGGAGACCGTCTCTTTGGCCCGGCTGTCACGGAGTGGGGGGGAGTCAGGGCCCTGGGATTCACCGGGACTCTCAAACGGAAGGTTTATTGGACAATAGGAACGCAGTCTAAAATAATGACAGGTTTCAGAGTGGCAGCCGTGTTAGTCTGTATCCGCAAAAAGAACCTGAGTCCTTGTTAGTCTCCAAGGTGCCACAAGTACTCCTGTGCTTTTTGCATGTAGGTACAACCAGGACCCCTCAATCAAGTCCTTTTGGGGGGTTCAGGGAGCTTGGGGTTCCCTGCGTTGCACCACCCAGCCCAAACTGACACTAACAACTCCTCCAGCAGCTCTCTCCCCCCTCCCCCTGCTCCTCCTCTCCTTTGTCCCGTCTCCGGGGCAGGTGTCACTTCTCCCACCCCCCTCTTGGCTCAGGCGTGGAGTGGGGAAGGCTCCCTTGCGGGACGGGACACGCTGGCAGCCTCAGCTGGGGGAAGACACGGTCTCTCTCCCAGTGCCATTGGCAGAGCACCCATCTCTGCAGCATCTGGGCTGCCAGGGCCGGCTTTAGGCCAATTCAACCAATTCCCCTGAATCGGCCCCCGCCCCTAAGAGGGCCCTGCACCCAAGCCCCGGTACGGCGTACCAGCAAGAGCTGGTGTGCTGTACCCAGGCGGCCCGGCTTCCCCAGGGGGCAATTTAAAGGGCCTGGGGCTCCCAGCAGGGGCTGAAGCCCCAGGCCCTTTAAATTGTCACCATAGCCCCACTGCTGGAGCCCTGGGGTAGGGCTGCGAGGCTCTGGGGGCTATTTAAAAAGTCCAGGGCTCCCGTTGCTTCTACTGCCCAGGCCCTTTAAATAGCTGCTGGAGCCCCGCCACTTCCCCAGGGCTCCTGCGGCTATTTAAAGGGCCGGGGCAGTGGAAGCAGAGGAGCCCCAGGCCCTTTAAATAGCCCCCGAGCCGCGGGCTGCTGCTGCTACCCCGGTGGGGGAGGGAGGAGGAGGGGGCACTTACCGTGCAGGGTGGGCTGTACCCGCACCCTCTGCCGGCACCAGCCCCGGACCCCCTGCCCTGTCTCCAGCCAGCCCCGCACCCCCTGCCCTGCCTCCAGCCCCACACCCCCTGCCCTGCCCGCACCAGCCCCTGTCTCCAGCCACCCCCGCACCTCTTGCCCTGCCTCCAGCCAGCTCCATGTCCACTGGTGCCCTGCAGTACCCAGGGCAGTAACCCTGCACACCTGCTTCAATGAGGGGGGCAGGGAGCAGCTGGGACCCACACATGTGCACACCCTAGGGTGACCAGACAGCAAGTGTGAAAAATCGGGACAGGGGGTGGGGGTAATAGGATCCTATATAAGAAAAAGACCCCAAAATCGGGACTGTCCCTATAAAATCGGGACATCTGGTCACCCTAACACACCCCCAGGGAGTGGTGGGGACCCACACATGTGAAACGGAGCTCATTTCTAGTTCAGGCCCATCTTTTTAGAAAAGAACTTTAGGTAGGGTTAACATACATCCTTATTTTCCCGGACATGTCAGGCTTTTTGGTTCTTAAATCGCCGTCCAGGAAAATACAGACGTATGATAACCCCATTGGTACAAAAAATACATACTGTGGCACATCTCTTAAATCAGAACTTTTTATAGGGAATCGGTTGCTAAGAAATGAAAGGCTTTTTTTTACATTTTTTTTTAAGTCATCCCTGCCGGGGCCCCACCGAAAATGTTCGAATTGGGCCCCGCACTTCCTAAAGCCGGCCCTGTGGGCTGCCCCAGCCCTCAGGACACCTCCTGCCCCACGGCCCTGGCCTTGGGATTCCCCCTTTGCCAGCAAACGCTGCTCCTTCTCCGTGACACTCCCAGGGGGCACGAAGTCCCGGCTGCAGAGCGTGGGCCGGGCGGGGGTGAGACCGCGGGGAGGGCTGGCTGTCCATTCACCCCCCTGCCCCAGGCAGCTGGGCCTTTAAGAGTCTGGGTTCCAGATAAAAGGAGCTTTGCAGGGGGGTGGGCCCTACTCTGGGAAGATGGCTGCAGCTGAGATGGTGAGTTGCACCATGGGTGCCTGGCTGCTCTGAGTCCCACCTGGAGCAGCTCCTCCTGGGCACTTGTGTGGAGCCAGGCCCTGGCTCTGAAGTGTTCCAGGGAGACCCCGAGCAGCCTGTTTAAAGTGCCCCATTGTGGGGGTGGCAGGGAGGGGGCCAGGATCTGGGGTGGGCTGGTGTTCCCGCCCTGGTGCTGGGAGGGTCCCAGCTGCTGCAGTTGTGTGTGACTCTGCCGGAGGCCTGGGCAGGCTGCTCCCTGCCGCGTGCTCTGCCCAGGGCTGTGCCAGCCCCTGGTTAAATGGTCTCAGGTGGCTGCAGGCAGGGCCATGGCACCAGTGTGGCTGGGCAGGCTCGGCCCCATGTCCCCTGGGGGAGAGGGGCAATGGCTTAACCCTCTAGCCCTGGGGCAGGCTCTGACTGGGGGCACGTCCCAGCCCTGCAGCGGCAGGGCTGGGGGGCAGCAGAGGGAGGTGGGGGGCTGAGGCTGTGGAGGAGACCGCAAGCAGCAACCTCTGCAGCACTGCGAAGTGACAGAGTCCCTGTGCCCCGCGGTGCTGCCAGTGCACGGGGCAGGCTGGGTCCCGGGGAGGCTGCAGAACAGCTCTGGGTGCTGGAGGCCTGGAGCCTGGTTCCTGCCCTGGGGCCTCCGTGGGCAGGTCCCGAGCCAGGGAGTCCCTGTCTCAGGGCACGTGGGGCCCTGGCAGCCATGTTGTTAGTCTCTGGCCATGGGGCTGGAGCGCTCTGCACCCAGTGCTTGTGCGGCTGGAGCTGGGGTGAGGCTGGCTTGGTTACTCACGGGGCTCTGCTCGCCCCCCTCTGGGGTCCCCTCGAAGCCGTCCCTGCCCTCCAGAGTCTGCCGCGCCGTGTGTCCTGCCCTGCGCCTTACGCCAGTGTGTGGCAGGGGGGCGCTCTGCACAGGCGAGAGGAGCAGAGGCGGCGAAAGGCACGAAGGGAGGCGCTCGCTGCCGAGATCTTGGACAAGCACCCCCTGCAGAACAGGTACCGTCCGGGCTGGGGGGGCTGCACCTTGTGTGGGGGGGGAGCTCCCCTGGCACCCCCTTTATTCCTGCCTGCTGCTCCCCACCCCGCCTGGGTCTCTCCTCAAGCCGCTCTGTGCTGCTTGCCCAGGTGCTGTGGTGAAACACCCACCCTGGGGCTAGGCTGGTGAGATGCCCGCGGGTGCCCTGCCCCACGGGGGCGCTGTGGGCCTGTGGTGTTTGGCCATAGCCGCAGGGCAGAGCGAGAGGCAGAGGTGGCTCTGATTGCCAGGTGAGCCCCCCCTCAGAGACCCCCAGCTTTGGGGAAAGGCCACGTTGGGTTCTGGACTTCAGAGGGGTCATGGAGTCTGATCATCCAGTCTGACCCCATGTGTCACCGGCCCCTCCGCGTCCTCCCCCCCTCCACTCCCCAACCGACAGGAGACCAGAATCTCCCACCTCACAGCAGGCTGGATGGGGTGGGACAAGGGGCACCGGGGGGGCGGGGGAGATGGACGAGGGGCACTGGGGTGGGGAGGTGGGGGATGGATGAGGGGCACCAGGGGCTGAGCCCTGCAATGGCAGGGAGAGGGTTAAGTGAGACACCCCCAGATAATCCTGGTGAGTGACCTGCACCCTGTGCTGCAGAGGGAGGTGACCCCCCCGCCCAAGGGCACTGCCCGTCTGACCTGCGGAAATTCCTTCCTGACCCCACCCCTGGTGACCAGTCAAAGCCTGGGTGGGTCAGAGCAGCCAGCCAAGCAGAGCCCTTGTGATGTGGGTTGGGGGGACAGACCTGTCAGTGAAGGGGGGCGACTTGGGTTTGGTTATATTGGCTGGGGGAGCTGGTAGAGTGGGAGGTGGCAGAGGGCTGCCTGGCTGGGTGGCCAGAGATCGTGTGTGGCAGGGGGCTGGCTGAGGGTGTGGCAGGGCTGGGTGGGCACAGGGTGTGTGGTGATGGGGTTTGCTCTCGGCTGTGTGGGCCTGGAGGGGCTGGGTGACCGGGGGGGGGGGGGGGGGGGGGGGGGGGGGGGGGGGGGGGATGCAGGGTGTGTGTGTAGGGGGGTGTTTGATGTCTGCTCTCGGCTGCGTGTGGCTCTAACCTGCCCTGCCCCCCCCCCTCCAGGTGGGCTCTTTGGTTCTTCAAAAATGACAAGAGCCAGACATGGCAGGCGAACCTGCGCCTGGTGACCAAGTTCAGCACCGCGGAGGATTTCTGGGCGTGAGTTCCCCTGGGTCCCTGCTGGCGGGGGTGGGGGCGCTTCAACTTCTGCAGAGGGATCTTGGGGGCTCGCCCGCCCGAGGGGGGCGACGGCAGGAGGGACTGGCTGCAGGCACGGGCATGGGGCAGCTGGCGCGTGTCCCGGGGGGGCTAGCCCAGGAGTCAGGACTGGCCTCCGCCCCGGTGCCTGCATGGGGACTTCGCTCCCGTCTGTGCCCAGGCCCCGGGGCTTGGCAGAGGAGTTGGGTTCAGTGTCTCTGACCTGTGGGGGGAGGATGTTCACTCCGCTGGGCCCCAGGTGGTGTGTGTGTGGAGGGGGGTCCCAGGGGCTTTGGGGGGGCTGCTGCACCAGGTTCGTCTGTCCAGCCACTAACCCGCTCTCTCCGCGCCGGCGCCGAGCAGGCTCTACGGCCACATCCAGCTAGCCAGCAAGCTGACGTCGGGCTGCGACTACTCCCTCTTCAAGGTAGGGCTCTGCCCCCCCCCCCCCCGGCAGTGCCCAGCCTCGCAGCCAGGGGACACCCGGGGGGGGGAGCTCGCTGGGTCCGTCTGTGTGCCAGGGCCCAGTCGGAGGGATCCCGCCCGGCTGCCCACGGGGGGTGAGACAAGCCGAGGGGCAGCGTGATGCCGGGGGAGGGGCTGTCGGGCAGGCTGAGGGTGACTTTGGGGCAGGCTGGCTGCTGCCTGCGCCCCTTGACTCGGCACCTCCCTGGCCCAGGACGGGATCGAGCCCATGTGGGAAGACAACCGGAACAAGCGGGGCGGGCGCTGGCTCATCACACTGGCCAAGCAGCAGAGGCACACGGAGCTGGACCGCTTCTGGCTGGAGACGGTGAGTGCGAGTCGCACCCCTGCAGCCTGAGCTCCCCTTGTGCCCCATCCCGCAGCCCCCAGGCTCTGCCCTGCCCCTGGCCCTGCTGCCCCTCTGCGCAAGGGGGGCTGGATACCGGGCACAGCCTCCCCCGGTGGGGCAGGAATCCTCGGCAGCTCCTCATGGTCAGCCCTTCAGGGCCTCCCGGGTCCGGCGCGCCCGGCTTCTCCCAGGGGGGCCTACGGGGCTGCCGGGTTGAGCCAGCAGCTCCCTCCTTGCCATGGGGCAGAGTAACAGCTCCTCAAGGGCACCGCGCTGCCCCGCCTGGGGAGTGGGTGCTGCAGACCCATGGTGACCCAGGGGCCTTGCCCCCCGCACAGCTGCTGTGCCTGATTGGCGAGACATTCAGCCCCTACAGCGAGGACGTCTGCGGGGCCGTCATCAACATCCGGGCCAAGGGAGACAAGATCGCCGTCTGGACCCGAGAGGCGGAGAACCGGGAGGGGGTCACCCACATTGGGTAACGTGGCTCCGAAGGCTCTGCTGGGGGGGGGGGGGGCGCCGTGTTCCCCAAACGCCCCTTGCTAGCCAGGCCATGGCCCCAGAGCCACGGTCCCAGAGCCACGGGACTCTGCAGGCCTGGCGCCGAGCTGGGCTCAGGCCCTGTTGCAGTGGCCACCGGGAGCTCCTTGCTGGCGCTGGGCAGGTGCTGTTCTGCATCAGTGCCTCTGGCTCCCCACGCTGGGAGCCGGCCCCTGGAGCAGGGCATGTGGCTGGCCGGTCTCCCGGGGCTGAGGGGGGCCCTGGAGTTGGGATTCCCGGGGGCTGTGGGGGTGGGGAGGGCAGAACTCAGGAGCGCTCGCGCTCTCTCTCTCCCCCCAGGCGGGTGTACAAGGAGCGCCTGGGGCTGTCCCACAAGGTGGTGATCGGGTACCAGGCCCACGCGGACACGGCCACCAAGAGCGGCTCCCTCACCAAGAACAAGTTTGTGGTGTGAGCGCCGGACTGGGCTCCTGGGACTGTGACGGCAGTGCCCCGCTGGGGGGGGCGTTGAGGCTGGGGCCTTCCCCTGAGGGGCTGGGCTGGCATGGCATGGGGGGGCTCTGCCTGCTGTGGGAAGCAAGATGTAAATTCCCACAATGCAAGTGCTGCATCCAAACACCGACTCTGTGTCTGCCTGGGGGGTGGGGTGGGGTGGGTCACTGCTGGGCCATGTGCCCCCGCCTGCCAGCTCCTGCAGAGGAGGCTCTGGGAATGCGGAGGGGGAGGGTGCATGTGGGCTCCAGCGCTGAAGACACCTGGGTAGATGCCTGGTGGTGCAGGTGCCCAGAGGGGAGGCTGGGCCCACCTGACATGGAGAGTGGCTGTGCCCCCAGCTCTGCCTGCGGGACTGGGGTCCAGCCCCCCTGCTGCTACCAGCCAGGTACCCCTTGCTGCAGCCCTGCCCAGGGGACAGCAGGGCCCCCCCACCCGCTCCTGAGCAGCCTGGCGCAGGGGGAGCTGCCCCACAGGGCTCCCCCTCTCTCGGCTTCCCGTGCAGGGGAGGGGCCCTACTCTGCATGGCTGGGACTGGAGTCACGCCAGGCTCCTGCTCCTTCAGGCTGTGGGAGGGGACAGAGCAACAGGGCCACCTCCCCCATGCCTGGCCCCGGCCTAGCCCTGGTGGTTCCCACGGGGTGCCAGGGGTGTGTGTCCCTGGCTGGGACGCGGGGGGTTGGCAGAGCACCCAGCTCCACTCCAGGCTCTGCAACAGGGGCACCTTGCTTGGCTCTGGACGGGCCCAGCCAGGCAGCCTGTCCCGTGCCGCCTCTGGGTAGTGCTGACCCAGCAGCTGCGTGGGCTGCCGGTGAGGAGCACACGACAGAGCTGCTTCCCCCCCGCCCCCCCCATGCCCCAGAAAGAGGCCTTGATGCCTGGCAGGGGTCGGGGGGGGCCCAGGGGTTCGGGGGGGGCGGGGGGGGGGGGGGGGGCAGCATGGGGGGGATCCCTCCAGGCCCCTGGTCCTGCCCTCCTGGAGGAGGGGAAAGCCGTGCCCAGCTGGGCTCCATGTGGGTGGAGCAGGTGGAAGGGGGGGGCTGCCTGTGGCGGAGGAGGGAGGCAGTGACTCAAGGGCCCAGCAGGCACAGGAGCGAGCCCCCCATTGTACCCCTGCCCAGGCTCTGGAGCACTGGCTGCCTGGCACAGCCCCCCTGTGTGGGCCATGGGGAGCAGCGTCCGTAGCTCCCCTGCGCCGGGCTCTGGGTGCTGATGGGCCAGTGCACAGGGCGTGTGTGTGGGAGGGTGTCGAGCCCCACCCAGCTGCCTGGGGAACAGTAGGGCTGAGCCGTCCAGTCGCCGCTTTCCCTGGGCAGGGGGGGGGGCGAGCGGCCTGCCCCCAGCTGCCGTTCCCGCCAGGGCCAGGCAGCAGCAGGGGCAGCGCTGACCTGTCTTGCAGCTTCTGGCTTTATTCAAAACGTCAGTGAAAGGAATGTCCCAGCCTAAGGCCTGCTCGGGTCTTTGCTCCTTGCCCTGTTGTGGCTCGTCGCCTGGTGCCACCGGGCCTGGGCAGCTCCGGCAGCGGGACACGGTGCAGCGCTGTTTTAAAGACCTTTCCTCAGCACTTCACAGCCGGTGCAGGGAGGGACGGATCCATACGGAGCAACACGAGCTCCCCGTATCTCCTGGGCAGCAGGGGCAGTGTCCCTGCACCGCTCAGCTGCCAGAGGGGCCTACGGCGAAGATAGCCGAGGGGTTGCGGGTCGGGAGTGAGGAGCAGCAGCAAAGGCGGGGGAAGTTTAGGGCTGGGATAAAAGGGGCTATGGGTCAGGATGGAGGGACTCCAGCTGAGCTGGGGGGGGGGGAGGAGAAAAGCAGCTGGGGCTGGTCTAGAAAGGGGGGCTGTGGGATGGGAGACCTCCTGGGGGGGGCAGATTATCCCCCTCTGCCCCTCGCGGGATTCCTACACCTTCCTCTGCAGTGTCCGCTGCACTGGGAGATGGGACTAGCTGCGTTTTGGCTCTAAACCCAGCTGGCAATTCCTACGTCCCAGGTGCTGCCCTGCCCCCTTCCCCTGTATCTCAAACCCTCCCAAGCCCCTGTCCCTGAGAGGCGGGGGAGGCTGGGCGTGTCGGAGTGTGGGGGGGAGACAAGGCCCTGCACCCCCGGCTTCCTGCGATTCACCAGGACTCTCAGCCAGCCAGTAAAGCAGGAGGTTTATTTAGACGACAGGAACACAGTCCAAGACAGGTCTTGCAGGTACAGACAACAGGACCCCTCTCAGTTAGGTCCATCTTGGGGTCCCAGGGGCACCACAGCCCCGTTGTGGGGGTCAGAGCCCTGTCTGGGCTCCCCTCCATTACACCAGCCAGCTCCTGAAACTCTCACTCTCTCCAGCGTCTCTCAATCAGCCTCCCCCCCAGCTCCTCCCGCAGCCTTTGTCCAGTTTCTGGGCAGAGGTGTCACCTGGCTCCAACCCCCTTCCTGGGTTCTCACGTTACATGCTCAGGTATTCTCCCTCAAGGCCAGTCTCCCACCCCCCAAGCAGACCGGCCCAGCCAACCTCCCCACTCAGCATTCAAAGGCTACATTAAGAACAGTCCCAGTTCGTGTCACTGGGGAAACTGAGGCCCTGAGCAGGTAACTCCGCACGGCAGTGGGGCTGCCTGGCCTCTCATGCACTAATGAAAGGGAGATTGGTAGAGTTGTCACGGATCCCAGGAGTGGCGCTATGCCCCAGCGTGTGAACATACTCCTGCACGAGCCCCTCCAGTGAGCCAGTCCCCCTGGGGTCCCACTCCTGCCTCGGGGTACCCCACGGCCTCCTGACAGCCCTCCTGCTTCCCTTGGGAGCTCTGCCCACCGTGTCTAGCTGAGACAGACCCTGGTACAGCCGTGTCCCCTCCACAGGGGTTAATGCCCTGGCCCCGTGTTCGCAGCCCCCCGCCCCCAGCGCTGTCACAGAACAGGGGTTAGCAGGCAGCCGTGCAGCACCAGCTCTGACGTTAGCCCAGAGCCAGGAGGGTCAAAGCAGGCCCAGCTGGTCAAGCTGCAATTCACCAGCCAACCTGGAACAAACCAGTTCTGGGCTCTCGCTGGCTTCCTTCCCTAGCCCGGTCGGTCCCAGCTGAGAGAGCCCCAAGCTTCTTCCAGAGCCTCCCCCAAGTCTCCTCCCACCTCCCAGCCCAGGCCTTTGTTCTCAAGCTGGGGGGGGCGAGAGCCCCAAGTCTCCTCCCTCCTCCCAGGCCTTTGTTCTCGAGCTGGGGTCTCCACTCAGCCGCTGTGGGGACTATTCAGTTGTCTCTCCAGACGCCTTGTTGACCTGGTGTCACACCTGGCTCAGTTGCAGCCAGTTCCTTAATGACTCTATTCATTCCACCTGGCCCTGGGGGTGACACAAACACACGTGTCTCTCTCAGGCTGCCCCTAGAGCAGCCTTAATCCTCCTGCCCCCCCCCCGCCCCCCCGCCATGCACAGTAGTGGGGAAAATGAGGCAAGTGCTAGATTCATAAACATATTACAAAAAAATTCCTGCTTTGTCACACCAAGTAACCCTTGTAATGATGCAGTTCTGGCGGGACCCAACTGACAGTGCCAATTCAGGACCAATTGCTTAAAACAGGGCAGTTACAGCCCTAGGCTGGGGTTTTTCCACCTCTAAGGCAAACCGAACCAGCCAGACTAAGAGGACTTTGGTCTCACCCCACTGGCTAACCGCAAGTCTCACAAGCAATTCCCTTAGACACTCCAGTTTCCCAGTATCACCACCAGTGCCACTCGTTAGGGGGACAAATGGTTATGAAAACCAATACCCCAGTAAAAGAAATAGGTTCTCTCGATCCCAAAGGACCAAGCCCAAGACCCAGGTCAATATACAAATCAGATCTTACCCACAAATCACACTGTTGCCAATCCTTTAGAATCTAAAATCTAAAGGTTTATTCATAAAAGGAAAAAGATATAGGTGAGAGCTAGAATTGGTTAAATGGAATCAATTACATACAGAAATGGCAAAGTTCTTGGTTCAGGCTTGTAGCAGTGACAGAACAAACTGCAGGTTCAAATCAAGTCTCTGGAACATCCCCAGCTGGGATGGGTCATCAGTCCTTTGTTCAGAGCTTCAGTTTGCAGCAAAGTCCCTCCAGAGGTAAGAAGCAGGATTGAAGACAAGATGGAGATGAGGCATTAGCCTTTTATAGTCTTTTCCAGGTGTAAGAACACCTCTTTGTTCTTACTGTGGAAAATTACAGCAAAATGGAGCCTGGAGTCACATGGGCCAGTCCCTGCATACTTTGCTGAGTCTCAAGGCATATTTGCCTTCTCTCAATGGGTCCATTGTATAGCTGATGGTCCTTAATGGGCCATCCAGCAAGCTAGGCAGAGCTGACACCAACTTGTCTGGGATGTCTCCCAGAAGCCGAATTCCAATGAAGGTGGCACAGTTTTTCACATGAGGGTGATCAACCGTTGGGACAAAGTCCCTGGGAAGTGGGGGGTGGGTCTCTCCATCTCGCTGGCATTGGGTCCAGACTGGCTACCCTGCTGGAGCGGGCACCTCAGCCGAAGCACGAGGGACTGGGTGATATCTAGGGGGCCTGGGCTACACCCTGCAGACCACAGCCAGGAGTCCCCTCTGGTCCCAAATCTGTAAAGCTATGAAAAAAACCAAACCACCCTTCTGCTCTGCCCTAAGCAGAGTTCCCAGGACTTTGCAAGCAGGGGTTAATCTCTGTGTCATTCCCTTCCCTTCCCTCCCCTCCTGAGGGGCAGGGGGCTGGGCTCTCCTGGGGCTGGGTCTCTGCACTTTCCTGGGCCATGTGACCCCCTCGCTGGGTGTGGGGCAGGGGGCGCCAGGCCCCGGAGAGTGGAGGTCAGGCCAGATGCTGCTTGGAAGGGAATTTCCTCTGGGATGTGGGCAGGTTTAAGATTGACCCTCTGCCAATGGGCCCAGGAAATGCACCCGCCTGGCAGCACTTTGCTTGGCTTTGGGAACTGGAAGGCCCCGCTCAGCTCTGTATTGTCCCTGAGACACGTGCCCTGTCCTGGGGCG